AAAAAGCTAAATATGGCAGGCCAGCCTTTAAAAAAACAAACAAACAAACAAACTCTGAAGCAGCCCAGAAAGTTGCATCACTAACCGTATCAGTGACTCTCATCAGCTAGTCATGAACTGCGTCTGCCTGCTGATGCTGCTGAGTAGGTAGTGTACATACAGTGGCTCTTAGAGCTAACAGACAACTAGACAAGAACTGTGATGCAAAGCCAAAACAAGAACTAAAAGAAGTTAAGAGGTTAAGTAGAGCTGCAGAGCTGGTGAGTCTCTGTGAAGTTGCAACTACCAGAAACACCTTATAGAGAAACATTTGATTCAGTGTTATTGCAAATAGAATGTCTCCATTATTGCATTAGAAATACTTAATACGTTGAAATATTTATTCTAAAACGGGGGAAAAAATGACAAAACATTTATATACAAATACATTTTATTAGGACAAAAACACAACAGTCTATTATTGTTCTTGTTGTTGCTGCTGTAAGTATAATTTATTAAATATGCTCATAAGAGTCATACAAACAAGTACACACAAGATGACTGCAGGTGAATTTGTCATTGTATTGTGCAAAATGTAGCATAACAAATAAAACTAAATTAAGAATAAAACAAACATAAATCTGTATATTCCACAACTTGAAACCTACACAGGACATATGTCCTGATGTTAAGGAGGATTAAATTATAATTTGTAGTTGTGTTTGTAGAGAAACCATAAAAGGAAACCTTCCTCCCTGCATCCTCTTCAAAAACTCTGATCACGGCTCCATTCACCCTGAGGAGGACCAAGGACATATGGGACATTTTTTCCAGAATTTAATCACCTATTTTTTTTATGACCACATTCCCATGTGTAGTCCCCAGCAGTACTACAAGAACATAACTATATTCATGACTATGTTGTCATGAGTGACAATATACTAAAGCACAGCAGTAATAATATTTTAAAAAGTTGTATGTGTGGGCAAATACTGCACATTAAAAAGAACTTAAAATGTCCTTGTATCTGCTTATAGTACATTATAGAGTGGTACAAACCATGATTTAACCCCTGATAAATGCTAAATATGGAGACTAAAAGCTAGCAGTGATATTCCCTGCAGGATAAAAGACTGTCACGCTGTCCACTCAGGTGTCCTCAGTCTCACCTGAAGACAAAGTCATGGCTGTCGATGTTCTTCCCCTGTTTGGATCCTCAGAGGATGCCTCAGTTTCCCACCACAGCACAGCGAACACCCAAAGAGACGAGAGCTGTTGAGGAGGGACAAGGTCAGTCCAACAACTGCAGAGGAAAGAGGAACAGTAGAGAACCGTTACTCACCTACAACTATCAGAAATCAGTCTGTCTCTGTCACTGTGTAAAAAAAAATCACATGATGATGTCTGTTTGTAGGTCAAAGATCAGGGCCCTGGTCTAGGTGTTCTGAAACTACAGTATATGTATACTATGTGTGTACTAAGATTTGTGAATATGTACAGGAGTCTGCATAAGATGTGTAGATGAAGCTGCAAATATGTACACAAATCTACAAATTGTTATGTGTAGAAATCTGACAGTATTTGCACTAAAAATCTGAATCTAATTGGTCTTTTATTATGAGTGAATTGACTAGCCTATGTTTTCAGGTTTTGCAAGTTGATGTCCAACTGACAGTCAATAAGCTGCACTGTTGCAGGTTTGGGTTTAGGGTCTTATTGTTTTGACAACAGTTCCAGTTTTGAAGAACCAAAAAAAATAGAAAACCAGACTCATGTCAAAAAAATCAAGTCAGATCTGGACAACTCAGCTATCCACATATGGCGAATGAGCTGTGGACCATACCATTAACAGGAAGTCCCTTCCATCCGTACAGAGGTGCCTGGTTCTTCAGCTGCTCCCAAGCGGATCTGGAGAAACTTCCTGCCCACTGAAGGACCGGCACAGAGAGCCTGAACTTCGTTCTGAGGACAGGATCATTCCTCACAGCCTTCCTCAGAGAGCATGAAGCCTCTATCTGCAGACAAATAGATATACAGTAAAACAGAGCACACATACAGAAAACATCTTTTTTTAAGGAAGCTGATGAATTACTACAAAAACCACAGCAGAACCTTAATTAGCTTTGAGTGACCTTTAACACGCTTTCTATCTTAAAAAAGTGAATGAGTTTCACTATTGTGAAGGTGATTATCAGCTGGATGCAACGAAAGCAGCTGGAAAACTCACACTTTCTTCTTTTTGTTGAGCTGCTGGCATGATTCCCCAGTCCACCTAATCTTCACCTGGAGTATCACTGCTGCCACCTGCTGCCTGCTCACTGACATCACAACATAATCATACCGCTACAGCAGCACTTGTTTACTACAGCTGTGGCTGTTTTTTAGGGTCATGTCATCCCTGGGTTATATCAGCCTGGTCTCACAGCAAAATGAGAGAACCAGAGATATTTTAAACTGCTTTTCAGTCTTCAATCCAGAATAATGGCGCAATGTCACAATATTTGATGAGTTATCGTGACACGTTGTGGGCCAACATAGCCATAATACAGTGTACTGTGAAACTGAGTTGGTAATATTGATGTCAATATTTGAGAGCTGAAAAAATACAATACAAATACTGTAGGCCTATATTGGCTGACATATAACATAAACTATTATGTTATGGCTCCCTGAGATGTTTTTTAAAGAACTGTAAGCAAGGAACACACTGAGCAGAATATTTTAGAGTGTAAAAATGATTTTGTTACAGCTCTAAATCAGTAAATGACTACTAAATGACCTCAAATGTAGGGTGGCATCTTGCTACTTGGAAACACTAATAGGATAATATATGAATTAGAGTGATAGTCTATAGGCTACTGTATTTGCAATAAGCTGATAATAGCCTGGTCAGTTTATCGATCTAGCTCATGTTTTTACAATGCATAATGCTAAACAAAGTGAGGAAAATAATGCACATGAGAAAATTAGTGGGAGTGAAGTAATAATAATAATAATAATAAAATGTATTTATAAAGCACCTACCAACTCAAAGAGCACTAGGTGCTACATCAAAAAATTAAAACCAAAATCTAAAATTAGTCATTACATACATTACAGTCTAAAATTAAAATCTTTTCTGCTAATAAAATTCAAGGTCGGTGACTTGAACTGAAACTCTGGCTAAAGCCCTGCATCAAACACATGGACTTGAACATTAGTGGCTGTGCACAAATACCCGAAATAAACTATTTTAAGTAGCCTACAGTGCATTTAACTAACTTTCCAAACCCTTTTATCACTTCTTTTACAATAACTTCACTGATCAACAGCCTTTTCCAGCTAGTGTATACAATGTGTATTAGTGTAATATCATATAAGTTGCCTGTACTAGTTTTACATTAAGATCCCCACTGACCCTGGAGCAACAAGTGAAAATTCAACCTGAATTGGTCCTGCACTCAAACACAACCAGGTGATTTCAGTTCACCTACCTGTTGGTGGTCAGGTTTCTGTATTGTCTGTATAAAATTGCACAGATGATGAAACTGAAGGTTCCCAACAGGAGGAAAAAACATTTCTTGGAGGATGTTCCCATTATTCCCCTCAGAAGCTTTTTTAATCGCTGACATGGACTTCCATTGCTTTCATATTTTTCCTGTCAGGTGAGTTCAGATGAAGTGAAAGCTGCTAAAAAGGGTGAATAACAAATGAACCAGGCAAAGAAATAAAACAAATAACCCTAATCACCTGCTGCCATGATAAGTCAACCCCGCAGCCGGCTCATTCATTGCCAGGTTGATAGACAAATGAAAGCCTTCTGAAGCATGGACTCGCCATGAACTCTGGTTCAGTGTTCTGAAGCATCTGCTGTGGATAATCCTTAATATTGCATTTGCATATAGGTGAATTAAGTCTGAGACTGTGGCTGTGCCTCATGTCTCTTATATGATAGTTCCTCACTCCTCTAGGGGCCGATTCCAGGTTGAGCAAAGATCGAGGATGTCCCAGGACTCTAATGTGTAGTCTGAGGAGCGAAGAGGCTGCTGGAGGAGCCATGAGCAAAGATATGTGAGAGCATCATTCACACAAGTCTTTTATGGATTGACACACACCTTTATTGCCAATTGGATTGAGGCACTGAAATGTCACTGTGATACTTCTGTGTAAAAAGGTTGATACTGCGTTGAATAGCCTAGTCAAGTGTTACATCACTCGCAGGCCGAATAGTTTGGTTTGATTTTATTAAACCAGAATCAGATGTAATGGGATGTGAGTGCTTCCAACTCTCTGTAAGGCCTGTGAAGCCTGGTGGAAACATCCTAAACTGTAGGTGAATCCCAATTCCCTTATTTTATCGTTCCTCGATCCCCACTCAGCCCAGAAGTTGTTCCAGTCCACCATGATAAATGACACGCTGTTGCACCTATTTCTGCTCTGTGGAGCGAGGAGGCTGACTGGAGGATCGGAAATAAGTTTGTGACTGGACACTTCACATGAATGATCAGAGGAAAGAATGTCTCATGTCAGTTAAAATGTGTTTCCTCAGTTCCTCTCTCCTCACATTTTACATGAGTGGGACCAAGATGCAAGGAAAAGATACTACCAGAAAACATGAGCTAAATAAAGATGCTACAGATTCCTCCGAAGTCTAAGTCCATGACAGAGAATAATAGAGCCAGAGGCAGGAAATGGTTGTTATGTTTCAAGAAAAAAAATGTCACATTTATTTTCCCAAAAGTACAAATGTAACTAAATAGTTGATATCTTTTTTTAAATCCTGGGTCCAATGAGCTTGAATGATGTTGTTGCAGTTGTTGTTTGTAAAAGCAAACTGCTTCAGCAAACTAACTGCACGGTTTAAAAGGTAAATCAACTGTGATACTAAATATTTTCACTCTAGTGATAATCTTTGAAACTCACACACTACCCAGCAGTATTTAAAGTAACTAAAATTAGTTTTACCTGTTGCAACATTAAAGTAGTGTACACATTAATGCAACAACAAATTATAATCCAAAAATATAATGTATTATTCCAAAATGGGCCATGCTGCATAACAAGTACTTTTTACTTTTGGGACTTGGAGCATACTTTTAAAACTTTACATAAAAGGAAGATTTTTAATGTGTTTTCTTGTAACTGAGTATTTCTTCAGTGTGGTACTGCAACTTTTACTTAAATAAAGTACTTTGTTCTCCACTGCTAGACACTAAGTGGTGTTGAGACTTTGGCTCTCTGTTGTATTAGTCCACTAGCTGCTGTCCAGACAGATGAGACTTAGTCCATCTGAATGTATCTACCCTCTCCAGCATGTCGAAGACTAATTAAATAAATACATAAATAAAACATTTCACTGCAACAGGGACAGATTTAAAATTTAAAAAGTAAACTTACAGTAGTTTATATTAAAGTTTTGTTAGTCAGCGTTGCAGTGGGAACCATCCACTGCAGCTACGAGTCAAATGTGAGCAGCAGAAGTGATGAGGAACTCCCTGAGAGGACAGACGACGTCTCAGTCAGCGCGCCTCAGGAAGAATAGAGCTTCGACTGCTCCTCCACATCTCCGTCCGTCACCTTCCCCTTCTCCCTCAGCAGCAGAAAGATGGCCATCAGCTGCTCCTGTTGCACTCTGGGATGTCAGTCGCCCCCGCACAAGCGCATACGCACACACACACACACACACACACGGACTCACAATGTGCTGGGCTGCTGACATGTAGCATGTAGAAACAGTTCAGCTGTGGTCTGGAAACATGACAGCAGCAGCATATGATTTCGAGCTGTAGCACCCCCTTGTACACGCATGACGTAATGTTTGAAATAACCAAACACAGTAAGTGTGTTTTCTTCATTATGCTTTGATGCCAAAGGCCAAATAGCTCAGGCGTCCCTACTGTCCAACAGAACAACCCTTTTTTCTATTCTCTCCACTCTGAGCTTGTGAATCATGTATCCAATTCAACACGCATGGAAACACATTCAGTACAAAAAGAAATCATTCCAAAAAGAAGCACTGTATGAGTTAAACATGAAATAAAAATGACAGTACTAAAACAACAAATATCTGTGGGGTTTTTTTTGTTTTGTTTTTTGCTAAACATCTCTTTTAACAATCCAGAATTTACAAAAGCCTCAAAAACCTACTGCTGGAACAAACACAGAAACATCTCCACGGTTCCACATATTTATTGCAGGTCAAACATTTAAACCAAACTCAGAAGAATTCAAACTCCAAACACAACGACTAACGATGGGAGGGCGTTTACTTCTGTGGTTTTAGGTCGAATTTCAGCATAAACGTGTTGATCTAAAAGAAAACTCAGCAGACATAGATGCTGAGAGTTTATTGTTAGGTTGCTGTTTGAGACGCACAAACCAGACTAAACACAGGTTAAACTTAATCTGAATTTAGATCACAGAGTTTAATAGGTTTTAAAGTCTGTTAACAAAAAATGTTACACAATTCTTTCTCAGCTCTGAAACCTCAATAATGTCACACACTTTATCTCAGTGTAACTCTTCAACCTTTCAGCGTTCAACGTTTTCTCCATCTTCAACATATAAAGCAGACAGCCAGAAAACAGAGATTCCTGAAGGCACTTTGGTGCCAAGATGTTTGCTTTTCACAAGCACCTCTGACACCACTACAAGAAAAAGCCAACTAAAATAAAATCAAGCACATGCCACACAGTTGAAGGTCTGATCTTCATTGCAGGTTCATCGTTTAGTGCTCCTTGTTGTCTTTCTCACAGCTGTATCAGCTGCAAGAAAATACAGAAGACAAAAAGAAGAGTGGTGCCTTATCTTGGTCATTCAGGTGCTCTGAAATATGAGAAACAATATAGAAATGAGTTTTGACTTTCAAAATCTAACAGAAAATATATTTTAAATCTGTTAAGCAGCACAACACAACAATCAGTTTGCCAACTATGCTGTTACAGTATGTTTTAGAAATGTACATCTTTTTTTTCTGTTTCAGGCATCTGTTTGCTGAGCTACTGCATAAAAATCAAATCAAAAAGTTCTTAAGATCTGTATCATCAACTTGTACCCGGTACTTTTTACCATACTGACTCTGAGAGACGAGACAGTCCAAGTAACTACAAAACAGTGCTGATTTATTCCATGAACACAGGTAAACATCAACATTACATGCTCAGGTATCTTGCACCTCCAAACTGCACGCAGGCAGATGTAAGATGAAAGACCCTGAACCCACCAGGCCTATACATTATATCCCTTCGGTTGGGCTAGCCCCATACTACACAGAAACGTCAACCGAGACGTCTCTGTTGCCAGCTTTGCAGCTGGTCATAGCAGTAGTCAAAACATGAGGTAAATCAATGTGTGTCTGTTGGTTAAGTGGTGTGTAGCTAAAAACATTCTCACGACCTCTAGTAACATGTCGTGACTTAAACATAAGAACATATTATGGCTAAAGCTACAGTTATACACGTCATAATAATAATATTAAACATCCTGTCTGCTGACAGTCATCAACTCTTCTCTCTAGTATCCTTGACCAGATGTACCCTGTAGAAACTCATAAGCATGACTAAGCATTTAACAGTCTAACTAGACATCCTATCTCCACTAAACATTTCTAATACATAAAGTATCTATCCAATATCTATCTGACTAAAAATACCTAACAACTTCAAGTCTGATTTAGTTTTAATGTTATGTTATTGCTATAAAGTAACACATACTGTATCAGTCACCACTGCTGATTTGTAGTTAATGAACTAAAACTTGCTTATATGGCACTTTAAATGCTGGGCTGAGTTACTCAGATCAGAGGTTATAAATTCACGTTTAAGGTTTGTGGAACACATCTGGTCAGAGAAACCTCACATGTGAAATGATGACAACACAAGGACATAACTTCCATTGGAGACAGGGAGGATGTGCCTGCCTCTCTTTTCTTAATCCTGATTTTGTTCCTCTGTTTCTTCAGTGACAGATTTAATGTCTAGAATCTCTATACACACAGTTCTCTGACTAAAATTCAGAAAAGAAAAACTATGAGTTTGTACTAATGTTTTGCTTCTTAGGCCTTTTGCTGTAGAAGCCACCCTAGACTTCTGATTGGAGATTTAGTCACTCTGCAGTTTGATGCTAAGAGCTGATTTCCACTGTCAGTGTATGTAAAAGCACTGAAGCCACTGACAAAACATTTGCATCTGTGATTTCATTAACTCACAGTTTATTTGACAAACCTCCTTAAACCACTCCGGTGTGTTCCACTAAAAGAGTTCAAGTGTGATAGACGGCACTCACCATTAGCTGTGGCGTTAGCAGGCAGCATGCAGGGTTAGCAAGCCGAGCAGCACAGCTGGACAGAAGCTGGCCGATGTGGCCAAGACTGGAATGAATAAATAAACTAAAGAAGTGAAAGCTCAGGCCACAGTGACAGGAAACCACCACCAGAAGCGCAGCGGCATGAGACTGGCAGAGAGCTGCTGGATGGAGTCGGTGCATTAAATCACATTCAGCTGGTGTGGGTACAGATCACCACATTCCATAATCCCCAGCATAAATTCAACTTGAGCAAAGGCTTAATCAGACAGTAACTGGAGACGCACTCGGGGGTGTTTTTCATGTGTATTAACTGTGTTTGGCCTGTAGATGGCGAACATAGGCAACAAGCAGTGTTCCTAGTTTAACAGACTCTGGCTTTATTCAGCTGTTACCTGCTAATAGTAATAAAGAGAAATAGAAATCAACACCCTTAAACATCCCGACTGATGATGTCTCGTACACTCGCAGCACTGGGTGACTTTCAGCGGTTCACATGCTGAGTCTGTACAAACACAGTGTGGTATAAAGCTGATAAGAGTTTGATGGGCGGCTCCTAAAATCAGAGCTGTGCCGATATAAAATTCCACACCCACTGAATCAAACTGCTAAAAATGTGGCAGCTGATTCACCTACTGAGATTGAAACATGACTCCCCTGTCTCTGATTTACAAATGACATGAATTCAGTATATTACAATAAAATAAAACCCGGTCTCAAAAAGCACCCTATAGTTGAATCTTAATACAATTTTGCACATTAAATGTTATACTTGGTTCTATTTATTACAGCCGTCTTCTGTTTTTCTGCAGCTTTTCATCTAGGATTGTTATATACCTGTGTTGTGTGCCAGTACAGTGGCAAATCCTCTCTGACACAGTCAACACACGCTAAACATCAAACATGTAGAATTTCTTGTTGCATTGTATTTTATTGTATTACTGTCCCTGTCTTTAAAATATCATTAGTTTCTTACTGACTGGTTTATTTGCTTTCTCATTTCAAACAGTGAGTGTATTCCCACTGATATCAGTACTGACATTGAGAACATGTCCTTTGTGTTTCCTATAAAAGCCCGGTGAAGGTTCCTGCAGGGTCTTTTGTGTTTCCTCTATAGATGCTTTGTCCCCTCTGAGCACACATGACCCACATTGGCTGTTTCCCTGCATCTCAGGCCTCTTATATCCATTGTAAACTAGTTTGTAGTAGGATGAACTCACACATGTTGGTTTGTTGTGTTTCCTGTTAAGGAGCTCAATAATAAGAGGATAATGCAGGATCTGAAGCCATGCGCAGCAGTGTAACAGCTGGGTGTCACTGTGTGAACAGCTGGGCCACGTGACCCCTTTAACCAGCACTGAACATCTGGACCTGGCTCCAGTTAAAGGAGGATTCATGAGGTCTGAAGGGAGGGGGTGTCAGCGAACACGTTGCAGGGAGGACAAATCATCATTATTGATTAATCAGTCATCACTGTAGGTTATCTGAAGCTGATTGCTTATGGGTTATTTTTTCTTTTTTTTTTTTTATCAGCAGATACTTCCATTGCCAATATTCTCAATTATCAATGTGGCTATTTGTGGAAATGCTGTCAGAACGTTGTGGTATTTAAATTAGCGCCCCACTTGAATACTTTACACTACAGTAAATGTTGTGTTTAACCATGAACTCTCATATTTGCAGCACAGTTTCCACTCCAGCCTAAAAAAACATGATTAGTATTTTTCTGTTGGTGCTTGTGTAACTTCAGAACATGGTTACAGGTCATGAGGGAAGTGTGGTTATTATTAAATACTGAACAGAATTTCTATTGTTATGTCTAGTTCCAGGTTGCAAAGTTTAACTGAGTGAGGTTTGGGCTTTGGAGAGGTTATATTAAATAGAAACATCACCTTACCATCTCCTTCCTAACACAGTGTGTGTCTGCTCAGGATGATTATAGAGAGGTAAAATCTGATGTAAGTTCTATCCTGGAAAGATAAAGGTGGAGGCAGTGAGACTCTGCTGACTTGCACAAAGACACAAACATTTGTTGTTGACACATTTGTGGCAGAATATGTAAATTATCCACAAAAATAGGGGGCGTCATGCCTGGATGTTCAGGGGAAGGGACAAGACAGGCGGATGTGTTGAAGTTGAGGGAGGGGTTGGGTATCGTTTAAATTAGAAAAATGCATGTTCAGTTTTTTTCTTTTTATGCCCAAAGCGTAATAAAAATACTGAGGAAAAAATTCTGGCTTTCATAATTCATGCATGAAAAGGTTAAACCAGGTTCTTTTGAAAAACCTTGTTTCAAATTTAATTTATTAAAAAGTATTGACTATAGTGTCCCAAAATCCTAAATGATATATAATCTTGCACACAAGATGCAAAAAATCCAAATCTTATGCATGAAGTTTAATATTATCTGTGCAAAAGATTGATTTAGTTATTTGATTTGCTATTATCTTTTGTACTAGACCCATTTTCTACACAAGATAACGTCATGTAAAGCACACAAGCTGTAACTTGCATTATACAAGTTATCTTTTGTGACCATGAGGTAAAAGGTCTATATCTGTTGTGCACAAGTCAATGTGGAGCTCATGGAGGGCAACATCATGCTGTGTGTGCGACTGAAATTCAAAAACCGAATGTTAGGGTGGGAAGGGGATCATCCGCAGGTGCTGAGGACAGTCTTTACAGCAACTTAGCGAGAGAAGATGGAATGAGGAAGTTGGATGGAGTTCAGCATCAAACTCCATCCCTCTGCTGGAGAAATAGTTATTCATCTGTGACGTCGTTTGGCCTTGAGACACAACTCAGACTGAATGGAAACAATTTCGACAGAGGGCAGGGAGTTTCCCTCCTCTGGTAACATTCTCAACAGAAGCACAGCAAGGCAGTGCTTCCAAACCATGAAAACATTTTTAGAGCTCCTGGGGCCCAATCAGAAGGCTGCAGATGTTCACTCCCCATACTGAGCAAAAAAAAAAAGAAAAAAAGAAAAAGACAAATGCCATAACCAGAAACATAAACTCTGCCTTCTGTATTTCTCCTCCTCAGTCTCCTCACTTGCCCGATTCCCTTTCACTCTGCCCAAATCCAGGCCTCAGACTCACCACACCAGACACTATATGTAACGGTGCATTATATAACACCTCGCTCTAGTCACCTGCAGTACAGGCCTGAGGGTGTGTTGATGACACATGAATGGAACACGGTGTCTGCTGTTCATGTAAATCTAGAGGCAGAGTGAATCTTTGGAGTCAGGCCTTTGGACCAGTCTCTGTTCTGCCTGCTCTGTTTGTCATGTTGCCTCAGAAGACATGTGGGCTGCCACTGTCCCCCTCACACATGCGGTGGTGTCCATGTGGGCTGTCATCTAGGTGATCACAATTTTGGTTCCTTTGTCCTTTGTTTCGCACAAAGGCAGCCATACTCCTAACATACACACACACACACTTATCACACACGTTGACTAAAACTTGTGTCTGAGTTAAGTCTTCAGTCCCCGGTGTTCAAGTCAAGCCCAGGTCCATCCATCCATTGTCTATACCTCCTATCCTAATGAGGGTCGCAGGGGCTGGAGCCAATCCCAGCTGACACTGGGTGAGAGGCGGGGTCCACCCCGGACAGGTCGCTGGTTTCTCACAGGGCTGACACTTAGAGACAGACCACCACACACAATCCAGATTCACTGATCAACCTAAGCTGCATGTCTTTGGACTACCCGGAGAGAACCCACGCAGGCACAGAGAGAACAAGCAAACTCCACAGAGAAAGGCCCCGGGGTGGCCCGGGCTCTACCCCAAAACCTTCTTTCTGTGAGGCGACAGTGCAAACCACTGCACCCAGAATACCTTCATTACATTACTGTTCAGTTAGTCTTATTAATATCACTGTAATATAATTACAACAAAAATTAAACATTAATAATTTTACAAAAATTTCTATTTATCTTGTTAAGTTTAATTGTTAATTTAATTCCAAAACTGTGGTTAATCATCAGTGACACTGATAATTATGAGACTAATCTGAACGCATCCAGGTGACACCAACATTTTATTGGTCTCCAATGTGAGGCTGTGTCATGGGACCTACAATGTGAGCTTTGTAAAGCACAAGGTTTACTCTTTGTCAAGCACAGAGGAATCACATCTACAGAAACCGTGTGAGACATAATCAAAAATGGCTCTTGAACGGCGCATTAAAAAGTGTATAAAGTGCGTAGCGCAGCTTGCTACTCTCCAGGATTGAAGCTTTAGCTGCTCTCTCAGACTAGCTTCCCTCTGTTTTCATACAAGGATGAAGCTAAATAAAACAGGGTAAAAAGGCAGAAAGCAAGAAATATGTGTGTGTGCTTGTATTAGCATGCAAAGACATATGTATCCAGTATCATCAGCACCATGAAGGCAGGTAGATAAGGCAGGATAAAGAGTTTGGGGGTGAGAAACTGACCTCTGCTCCTCCTCGATCTCCTCCTTGGTCATCAGCGTCTCATACTTGCTCTGTTTCTTTCCTGGAGTGAACTTCACTGTATCGTCAGCTGCAGTCGCATCTGCAACACAGGAGACACACAGCAGGACGACATGTTTCTAACTGTCCCCACATGTTTATATCAGGACTTAACATCACAAATCTACTGTCCATCAGTCAAGTGCTCCTTGTTGAGTCATAGTATGATGCCAAATGTCATATATTTAAAAAAAAAAAGCCTAGAGAAAGGACCCCACGCTACTCAAGTCTGTTTTACTGATATTTGTATAAAATACAATGTATTTAGCAGAAAGCGTTAGCATATAATTCATTACCACTCAAATTGCTGGCATACAATAATGATGTACCATATAACTGACTAAAACTTTACTTCGTGTGTGGTCGTGCATTAGCAAACTGCATAACACATCTGTTTGTCACATTTGGTGAATGTTTAAGTGCTATGCTATAATTCAGCACATGCTAAAATTATGAACATGTAAATTGGTGGTATGTGCTGACAACTTGCTGGTTAAATTATTTACAAAAGAACATTTCTTGGAAATGATCGTTTAAAAAAATAAATGCCCTGCTATGTTTTATAGGTCATACAGGCAGAAATTCAGAGGTTAGAGTAGATGATTTGAACAATACTTTTTTCATAATTTGTCAAACTATGTCACACCGTGCAGCGGTAGGTTGTGATGAGTCTGAGAAGGTAAAGTTGAGTGAGTCGGTCTGGTCTCACTCTGCATTTCACCATTTTTCAAAGTGGTGAATTGTTTAACTTGATGTATGATAAAGATGGCTTACTGGATACACACAGACACGTTTGTTTATTAGGACATACTATTACTTCATACTGTGTGTAAATTGAGCAAATGGGTTATATACTGTGTACATGCAAACACAAACACTTGTACTTCTATCTTTGTAAGGACACTCATTGATATAATGCACTCCCTAACCCCTTACTCTAACACCTAACCATCAAAACTAAGTGCCTAACACCTATCACTAAACCTAATCCTACCTTGAACCCTAAAACCAAGTCTTAATCTTCAAAAAGATGTTTGACAAAGTGAGGACTGGCCAAAATGCCCTCACTTTCAACAAACGTCCTCACTCTGTAGCAAAAAAATACTTTTTCATCCTCACTATTTAAAAGGTACAAGAGCACACACACAAACAAACATATACACCTGTTTTTCCATCTGTTGTGTCGCAGTTTGGAGGGACATCAAGCAGATTGTTAGTCTGGATGGCAGCTGACTAACTAAAAGCAGATGGCTGCTCCAATTCTGTGCATGCCACCTGATCAACTCATACGATACACGCATACAATCATTACATGCTGGACTTATTAACAGTCCTGCCAGTGGAGGACAATGAAATAACTGTAAACAAGTGGTAAAGACTGGTCATCTGACTTTTCTGTTTGAGTGTTTCTGGTTTCCTGGGCTGTTGTTAATCTTGTGGTCAGGATTTTCTGCTAGGTGAAAATAGCAGACATTATATTGCAAATGCACTGACTTTTACTTGATTTTTTCCAAGGCCTAATCTGTACACTCATCATTCCATGTAGTGTAATGAATGAAACCTGTGTCTGTATCCTCAGGAGAATTGAAAACAGTAGCTTGACAGCTGTATTGCACTGACTTTTCCTGGAAATGACTTGTCTGCCGTTGACAGTCGCCAACATCTGTCTGCTATAGAAAGCTGGAATTTTCTGTCCAAAGATTAGATTGAGTGTCAACAAAGTAAATGTTTTTAGTGCAGAGAAATCCAGTTGGATTCATACAACATTATCTTATCCTTAGATGAGTGTTTCTGTATTGACAATTTTGTATCAGCTTCCTGGAAACACTCGCCGTCAATAAATCCCATGAAAGACAACCAACAATGTTTCACTCCATCTTTAAGTATATTCTGAGTTCCCTACCCTAATATAATATGCAGTGTACTATAATCTTACTGTAACTTCACTTCCTTGATTTTTCAGCTGCACCTCAAGCTCTCAATCAGTGGATATATACTGATTAAAAAACATGAGATGTGATTACACGTTAGGTAAGACAAAACAAGTATTTTCTCCAGCAACCACTAAAGATTATTTTCATTATGGACTAATCTGTTGTTTATTTTCTCACTTAAAGCATTAATCTTTTCCCCCAGATTCTAAGGTGATGTCTTCAAATGTCTTTTTCTGTATAATTAATGGTGCAAAATCCAAAGAAAAGCAGTTTTGTACATAGGAAAAGCATAAATCCCTGCATTTGAAAAACTGGAACCAGACATCCTAGTTTTTCTAGACTCTAAAGATTTCTCAACTGAAACTATCTGGGAAAGAATATCTTTGGTGAAACTACTCACAGAAATAAAGAGGCCCCACAGTGGACCTTGGGTAACTTCACATTTAATTGCCATGATTTCCTGTTAACTCAAAATGGCTATTTTCCTGCAAATATGATTTAAACCAGCTTAGGATTCTTCCAGTCTGTCTAGTAATATATTGTGAAAACCTCAGACAGGTCAAATATGACTGATAAGAGAGTGGAGTATAAACCTGGTCTGGTTAAACTAACAGCATGTTGTCTGTACAACAGTCTTACCACTGCTCTGGACAATTTCTGGTTCAGCCTCATGTGATGCCTGTGCAAGAGGTTCGGGGTTGGGAAGGCTGTCTTCTGCAGAACCAGGGATCAGCTCAGATAAAGACTTCTCCACAGACTGCAGGACCGCTTCAGACACCGATTCAGACTTGACCACTGGCTCTGGATCAGGCACGGCAACAGGTTCTGGAACCGCAGCTGGTTCTTGGACAGGTTCGGAAACTGATGCTGGTTCTGGGAATGGTTCTGGTGCCGATGCTGGTTCCGGTACTTTTACTGGTTCTGGGACAGGTTCAGGTACTTTTACTGGTTCTGGGACAGGTTCTGATGCCGACACTGAATCTGGAACAGCCTAGAAAGGCAAAAGGTTCACAAACAATTAATATTGAGAGACAGAAGTATAAAGATAGTATATACAATACATGAGAAAAAAGGGGGGTGTGCTTCTCCTGCACTGAAATACAGCTGGGTGCTCTGCCTTAAAAGACGTTCCTGATGCTTCTACTGGTTCTAACACATTATATTTAGTCTTTTTTTTATTTTATTTTTTACATTTTTATTGGACAGCTGGTCATAGAGAGGCAGAGATACAAAGAACAAGGCCTGGACAAACATCATGGTTGGGCTGGAACTGCTGACAACACATTACGTCTGCTAAAAGCAAAGTTCCATTTTCTTTAGAATAATTTTTAAAGCTATAAGTTATAATAGTCATGATTCAAGCTTGTATGTTTTGAAAACTCTTTGTTTTTGTTTTAAATTTCCCATGTGATCCTGCTGCCATGGCAGTCCTGTAAAAAAGATATTCAGTTCTCTATTTTAGGTCACATTCTTCACGTAAAGAAACACAAAATCAGTCACACTGTTTGAGATGGGCTCAATCTAACATTTTCCAGTTATAAAAAAAGGATTATCTCTGTCCACAGTGACTGACTGTACTGTAGCATATCAGTTGTGTAGATGTCTACTGTCAAGTGCAACTCCTTGTTGAGTTTCAGCTGCTGCCTGCTGCTCACACCAGGACAGACACAACCCTCTTCGGTGTAAGTCAACCTGTCCTTTCTCTGACACCTGACCACACACACACACACACACATCAGTATGTTTCATTGACTGACCTCTCTGCATGTCCCTATAAATGCACTTGTCTTTTGTGAAGTGCTGAGTTGGCACAAACTGAGGCACATGTAAATAATATCTTTTGATTTGGAAGCAACTATAGTTTAGAAAAAGATCTTGTGTGTTTTTTTTTTACAAATTGTGTACAAAGTATTTAATACTAGAAAATTAAGATAAAAAAGATGTTTTCAGAAAAGAGAGTATAGTCTGGTCCCGTCGGTCAAAACCAGCCTTGACCAGTTTTGTTACCGATGACTCACCATGGTGACAACTGGTGGCGTCAGGGTGCAACAGTGAAATGCATCCGGCTTGGTGGTATTAAACTAATCTTGCAGTCCTGCCTGCCACCCGCCTGGTCTATTAATCCCACAGCAGCCTTCCCTCACACCATCAAACTGGAACGGCATCCATTTAAACACTAGTCCCAACCACTGCCTCTGAATTCCTGAGTTATGAAACACCACAATAACCTCTGCACTAAAAAGCCAGCTGCTGTAACAAAGTGTACAGCGTCACGCTGCTAAAAGCAGGACCATTAACTCACTTCATGAGTCAAGAGGACAATAAACTGTATTCTTAGCTGAAACCAAGGTCCTGATTCTACTGCTGCCCTAAATTGGACAAATGTGTTTGTTGGGCGAGTAAACCCAATATGAGATCATTGATGGTAATTTCAGGCAATGACCGTGATCAAATCTGGGGAATGAATCAACAAAGCCGCAGTGGAGCCTACAGGCGCCCATTCAAAACAAAAAAAACTATGGTAAGTCAAAAGCATGAGATGAGTTTAAAATTTCTAGATATTAAATCAAGACTGAGTTTTATTGTTTCACGTGAGAAAGCAATATCATAGAATAAGATACTAAAGTAAAATTGAGATACCTAATGAAGATTATGTGATGCTGAATCAAGATTAGGACATTCTAAATCAAGATTATGAGACAACAGTAAAATTATAGGATAATAAATCAAGATAAGTAGATACTCACCAGAACTATGGGATACTGAGCCAAGATTATAGAATGCTAAATGTAGAATATAAAATACTAAATCATGATTACAGAATGCTAAAACATAATTAATACTACATAAAGATTGAGTTACCAACCTTAGAGTCTAAGATACTGACCTAAGATTTTAAATGACTATATCAAAATTATGAGATACATCAAGATTTTCATACAAAATCAAGATTATAGAAAACAGTACAGCATACAACTGATTTCATATGATATTATCAAGAAATTAAACTAGGAACAACAATTGGTGCCATGACATCAAACCGAAATATTTAAAAACCAACACAAATAACTAAAAAGAAGTCAAATGTAATTTTAAAGCTCTATGGGTCCTGTTCAAAATGAGCCCAGTGATCCTGCCCTTTACGACCTCTGAGAGCTGTTCCTGGTAAATAAAACCCAATCTGTAACTTTACACTGAGTGCTTCACTCATTCTCGCTCTGTAACAGAGTGCAGATGAAGGGCATTAGGTCTCTTGGCATGCGGGGAATTTAGTAAACTACCTGAGCATAGACGAAAGACGAAGCGGCTCCAGTTGGTGACGAGCCTGAGGCGGCCAACGTGAAATCAGTGAGCTGTTTGTCCACAGCAGAGAGGAGGGGACAGAAGGTTTCTCCTGCGTTATAACAGTGCATTGAGGCATGCGCCACAGAAAGGTGGTGGGTAGGCTTGGTAACAGATTTTTAGGCTTTTTTCATCATGTGATCACAATCAATGATCACAGCAGTCACACCACAAAGTGACATTCACTCTGCCACACTAGGCGGGGGCAAGAAGTCTGGTGAAACACTCTGCTGCTGAGGCAGAGACTGTTTCTCTGTGTGAACACAGACTCATTGTTCCCTTTGCTCTCTGCCCAGTCTCCACTTCAGCTCTCTGACACCACCTCAATTTATAAAACACAAACTTCCATTCTGTGCTCTGAGCCTGTCAGCCTCCAGGGAAACGTCTGCAGGACTGTCTTCTGCACAGAGCTGCAAAAGCAGGCAGCAGGTACACAGACAGACAGTGTTTACTTCAAAGTCAGTTTGTTACAGCACCTGCAAATACATGCAGGTTTACTCATTGTTAATCTCCCCACTGTAAAATAAAAGAAGCATGGTTGAGACCAGGTTATGACTTGGAACTATTTCCAAATATTTAGTGTAGGAACCAGGATTTTGCTCAGAAACAATGGCACCTGTAAAAATCTGGATATTCTATAGTGGATCTCAACTTTGTCGGTTATAAGCGTATCACCACACGTGCATACTGTACCATCTGAGCTTATAGAAACCTGAATCTCCTCAAAATACACATTTTAATTTATTGCTGCCATGTGAGAAACAATCAATGAGCAGAATCAGATTTGAAAATCTATTGGATATAGATGGTACCCAGGTCTACTAGACTGTGGCTGTGAGCCGCAGTGTGTGGAGACACAACGTGCATGCAGGGCGGCAGTAAAGACCACTTAAGATGAGTCTAAGACCAGTTTATAGCACATCAGCTAGGAGACGGATCAAAACAAATGTGTCAAATCAGTTTGAGAAAAATGATATATTCTGACACACTGTGACAAATTATGAAAGTACAATATCTTTCAATACATTTGAATAAAACTACACATCTAAAATTAGGATATTTGGTTATATGAATGTACAGTATGAATGTACTGTACCTGTAATGACAGTGGAGCACAGTGACATGATATTAAATCATAAAACCTCTCTGTGGGTAACTGACAGCAGAGCTCCATTCTGCTACAAGAGCAGATAACCAGATGCAAAATGTTCTCAAAGAGATGGGCAACATCTGGAAAGAGAGGCAAAATGTCCTCACAGAGCTGTGAAAGATCCACAGAGATACAACACATTGCAAAATTACCACAACAGACGACTACGAAGAGACAAAAATATCGACAAAAACAAACAGCCACAAAATATCCCCAAAAAGACCAAATTAGTCCACAAACAGTTGTAAGTAAATCAAAAATCTAGAGTTACCACTTCACCTGTGGTATGTCTCCACCAACCAGGCAAATTTACAGGAAAGAGACAGATGAGAGGGCACTGTCCTTGACCTTTGACCACTAAAATCTAATCAGTTCCTCTTCGTGCCAAATTTGAAGAAATTCCCTCAAGGTGTGCCTGTCATATCATGTTCATAAGTGGGCCAGATGGACACACAAACTGATATCATAATGCCTCCAGTTGTGGCTGTCCCTGGCACAGAGGCATAAAGATGCAAACCAACTACTAAGAGAATGACAACAGAGATGCAAAATGACCACAAAACAAACATAGCTTGTCCTAGTGTGAAAAGAGACACTAGTGTCTTATTACTGCCGATATCTTTATCATTCTCGCCCCTTGGCAGCCCAAACCAGACAAGTTAAAATCACCACTGAAGGTGGAGGGGGTGGAGGGTTTCATGTCATCACATTTGGACTTCAAACTGTTCAAACTGGAGTAAATGCAAAGTTTCTGCAACAGTATATCTTAACAAAGAGTCCAGCCATTTCGTGCCCCTTGGTTCAAGGAAACATTTGAGAACAACACATGGTCTCAGTCGTTTGGTTCCCTTCCTGTTTACCTCTCACGTTGACTGAAAAGAGCAGCTGTTGGTCCTGAGGAGGAGACACTGCCGTTCAATTCTCCCGTTTCTGTCTGACACTGTACTATGAGTGGAGGAGGGCAGCTTGGCCAAAAGAAATGACCTAATAATGTCTCAGTGGTGGCTTAGAGGCAGGAGATGGGACAGGCAGTGGTGGTGATGTTGAGGGTGCCAACCTCTCTGAAGTCACCACAGAGGAGGGATCAGCTTCGACGCTGTGTTATGTAGCCAATGTGTGTTTTTTGTTCATGGAGCTGATGCTCAGCCAGTAGCTCTGTGAAGCAGAGGTGGAGTGAGAGAGACCAGAGCAGGCCTGAGAGGGGGGAGGCGAGGCAGGAACAGCACCGGGCCAGGGGGAAATACCAGCAGAGGTGTGTCAGACAACTTGGGGAGGTCCAATGAGAGAACTGCGTGCAACTGTTCACAGTCTGATAAAATCAACAGAGACGAGAGGTCAGCAGATGCCACGCAGACCTCGCCCACTGGATGACTCACCGCTGTGGTTATGAGACAGCTGACTAATGGCATATTTCAATGTTTCAGAGCCTGAAGACATCAGGGGCCCCTGGAAAAATCTGGGAATTATTACAATAAACATGGGGGGGTTTGGGGGCAACAAAAATGATATAAGGACCAAAACATGCTATGTTTGACCAGTTTATTTATTTACCAGCCCTGTGACGTATAATTTGATACAAAAGCAAACAGTGAATAAACTAACTATGCCACTGTACTGAACTGTGAGCTCTAACGCAATCATTCCCTTTCCATCATTCCAAACCTGCATGATGTGAGCACGCTCACATTCCCTTATATGGACAGCTGCATTGCCACGAGCCACACAGTCTGACATTTTCAAAGAATGAGGAGGGAGAGGAAACATTTAGCCAGTCCGAAAAAAGCTCAGTATGTCTAAGGAATGTTCCGGTTGTTGACTGCAGCCTCCAAAGCCAAACACACTTTCCTATTTTTATGGTTTAAACAATATCAGCACATTGTTAAGTCCATGTAGTGGATCACATCCATGCTCTCATATACCTCAGCCTGAAGAAAAACAACAAAAAACCTACAACATTTTAGTCCTTTTGCCTTATTTTTAGTGCAATGTGGTTGAAAGTGGAGTCAATGCAGTTTGTAATTCTTGGAGAAGGGACGTTACAATATGCTAAGCAGATAAATGTCAGAGAGCCAGACTCTGACTCTGACAGCAATGATACACGGAGCAGGGTCATAAACCTGTGCTACTGAGAGGAAAACCAGCCTGTGAGAACATTGCAGGGCGGAAAGGTTTAGTGCTCAGAGTCTGGAAAGTCAAGTCGTTTATTTCTGACCTGTTACAGTGGAGTGCACATTTACTGGGGGCTATCAGTGTCATGGGTAGAAGTAGTACTCGGATCATTTACTTAAGTAACCGTATCAATACAACAGTATGTCTGTCTGTTACAAGTAAAAGTCCTGCATTCAAAATGTTATTTAAATAAAAGTAATACAAAAGTATTAGCATTAAAACATACTTAAAGTACTAAAAGTAAAAGTACTTGTTACGCAGAATGGCACATTTCACATTCCTGTTTATCATATTATAATTACCGATGAAGTATAGTGTACATCACATTTAATGTTGCAGCTGGTAAAGTGGGGCTAGTTTTAACTGGCTTATATAAATTTTATTTGCATTACTGCTGGGTAGCTTTTGAATTTTCCACCATAGGTCAATGGGGTTTTATAATTATACTGGACTGTTTGTATTGTATAGTGCTGTTCTATGCATTGCAGCACACTCAAAGCGCTTTCACACTATCTGGCCATTCGCACTCCCAAACACTCACACATTCACGCACCGGTGTCAACACCGGGAGCAAATGGGGCTTCAGTGTCTTGCTCAAGGACACTTCGACATGTGGACTGGAGAAGCCGGGAATCAAACCGCTAATCTTCCCACACAGATTTACTCATAACAGACGAAGGCCAAAGCAACAAGAGCCGCTGTGTTCCAGCTCTACAGGGTCACAATCACAGAGACATCCTTTATGTGGACAGTGAAAACTGTCCAATATACCATGGTACACTGCAGCAGCTATAGGTCAGACAGCTGAAGAGTGAACTATGTGTGCTGGAAAAGGTCGTCAATGGAGAGGAGGACCGAAGAGTGTTAGCTGATGTCAACTACGACTTCCAAGGTGCATTTCACTAACAAACACCCAATTACAAAGCTTCACTAACTGTGAGCTGAAGCTACACATTACACTTTGTAGAGTCCCAATGAAACATTCAGCAGTTTAAATTTTCACCTTTAATTTGCCCAGGGTGGGAGCACATTTACACCTGGAAGCTGCCCAGTACAGCCGCACACAGTTGGGGTTAAAGGCCTTGCCCAAGGGCACCACAGTGGTGCTGATGAGAGAGGGGCAGGGGTTGCTTTGTCACCTGTCTGCCACCACCACTGCCCTGTAAATCATTAATTACATGGTTGGGGGTTCAGTCTTCTGTCCACATGCCCTGAGCACCAACCCCAAACTGCACCCACATTATTTTCCATATTATTGTCATAAACTAGAAATGTGTAAAAAGTCTTTATGTAAAATCACCAGGTTTCCTTTAGAGACCTTTGATAGGTGCTGTAATTTCATTTTCACCACATAGAGCTCTGTGCTTTGTTTTTAAACCCAAAAATGCAGCCTTGACCTTTCTAGCCCTGACCAGTGTCTGCAGGTATTCCTTTCAGGTCACTGCTCCAACAACCACCTTTGTATAACATGAGAGGCAAAACCCTGGAGCAACAAGCCTGCAAAACGATTGCTGTAACATTCGCTGCTGCTCATTGGACTCACTGCTTTGACTGCACAGTAGTAACTGGAGGAGACTTTTTATCAGCTCCTCTATTTTCTCATCTGGACTATTGTGGCTGTTCAGAGATACAGTACTTTTATGAAAGCAGATCCCCGCCATAATGTTTTGGGGCATTCTAACCGCATTTCGAGTGCTCCTCAGTTTGCAAATCAGACTTTGAGAACGCAGGAATGAATTTGTAAGAGCAGAAACAGGTTTAAGAGTGAGGGAGGGTCCTTGCTGCCTGCTCCAATCAACTGTTTTGCTCACATTTCTGTCCTCCCTTGCTCTCAGTACATCGCATGTTCCGGCAACAGTGAGCATTCTTCAGGCTTTTTAAAAGCGTGAGGTGGGAAAAGGTCAAAAGGAACCAACAAATGAAGGCCAACATGGTGAAAGTCTTCAGGAGGGAAGAGGGGAGCATTTGTACTGCTGCCAACAAAACTCGATTTGCATGCTAGTATATAACAGTAACATCAGCAGACATTCAAATACACACAGGGCCTCACCTGTGGATGGTTTCACTCCCTGCTCCTCAGAACATTTCCTCAACATTTTCATAAAGGCTCGACACTGTTTGCACAAGCAAATGATCATCCAGTAATCAGCT